AAATTTTCTGCCCGAGTGAAAGAGGAAGAGAAATTTCACCTGCCAGAAAATTTGTGATGAATGCCACCAGTGGCGTAGATAGAGGGGGTCGGGGGGGGGGGGGGGGGGACCTAAAAGGCTAAACTGCCATTTTGTCGGAAAATTTCTGCACTTGTCGGAAAAATAACGATGGTTTTTTTTGTTTCGTTTAGTTCTAGTGGTCTTATGTTATGTTCAAAATAATCAAAAATGAGAATTAGTGTCAAATTTTTGTCGGGATATCTTCATTTCTCGCCCCCTCTATGAATTTTCCTATTTATGCCCCTGGTCCTAGGGTCCTGAAGAACAGGCCATGGGGTCCTGTCTATATTATATGCCGATAAAAAGGTAACACATCTACTTTTTCGTACAGATGAAAGGCCTCAGTGTGCTAAGAAAAGTTTTTTTACTCATAGTTTTTTTACCCCTATGAGTAAAAAAGAAAAAATGTATATTTGACCATCAAGTTGAATTAAACAACAGATTATAATGTTAACCTTTTATGATATTACAACTTGCCAACAGTTGGGTATGCTATGGTATTTTGCTTGGAACACATAAAGGGTTCCATGGTAAAAATCCCTAAACATGAAATAGGTATCATCTTTTAATAAATCTGTTTTGTGTTTAATGGATTTCCCTTCCATTGTATCAACCTGGTAGTGCTGTGTCATTTAATATGGACACCAAAACTAGAGGAAATCTCCACTTCTTCTCTCTCAACTTACAATATACATATTATGTGTAGAGTGAATTTTCTACACCTGCATTGACACAGTATATAGTTCTGACATTCATCAAAAGGATCCCTCAGCATACTCAAAACACTTCACTCTTTCCATTTTGTTATGAATTATAGAATTATGGGAGAAAAAAAATACATTTTTTAAATTCTATGTTTTCACTTAAAAAGATGCAAAAGAATAAGCCACAAAATTTCCACCACCAAAATCACTGATAACAATGATGATGAAGAAGAGGGCAACTTCTGCTTATGTCTGTGAGTGCCACTGCTCAAAGCAGCCATACTTGCAAAGGGGTATTTTGCAGGCTCTGCACATGGTCCTGGTCACTTTCCTCTACCCATTTTGCCTGCATATTTTACAGCGGCAATATTTCCTACCAGGAACCCCTTACTGATGATGTAATATTGTTCCCTAAAGACGACGCATCAATGGAACTGTGGTTAGATGATTATTTCTTTGGGACGATCCCCTCCTTATGGCAGTAGACTCTTTGAGAAGATCACGGATGAGCCGCACTTGGAAATCAAACTGGCTTAACTTCCCCCCCAGGGCTTGATGCACACAGAAGGAGTTGACAACAGCTATGTCAAAAAGATACAATATCACCTTCTTATACCATTTGATGGATTTTCGGGCAGTCTGGTAAGACAAAAGAAACTGGTTTCTCATATCTTCTCCCTTTGTCGCGGCAGTGTAGTCAGAGACTACCTTGGGCTTTATATGTTTTTTCTTACTCTGGGGTGTATTAGTGACTATTCCAGAATGGACTGTGGACAGCATGGTAATGGGCTCCCCCTTATTATGCCATTGCAAGCACAAAATGCCTGTTGGGGTGCTACGTAAGTCCACATCACCATAGGCTGTCGTCTGCAGATCAATAGGCATATACTTACGGATGGTGTACACAGTGCCAATCGCATTTGTATGCTGACTCTGTAAGTATTGGAAGAGACTGGGTGAGGTATACTTGCTGTTGGTATAAAGCTCATACCCTTTCCCAAAGAGATCTGCAGCAGCCATTAGCTCAACAATGGCTCTCATACGTGAAGGGAGTTTTCTCTTGTTGTCACCTGAATAGATACTCAATGCAATAGTGTAACCTGAAGTCATGCCATCACTGACACACAGCTTGTACATCTTCAAACCAAATTGGTCTTTCAATCTCCATTGACTGTCAACTGTTATCTTCTGGGGAGGAGTATACACTGATGAGAACTGCTGATTAAGCATATTGAGCAGTGGACGAAACTTCCACAAGCAGTCGTCACCAGGATGTGTTGCACTGTTATCCACCACATGAAGATTCTGCGTCAGCTGAATGAAACGATCTAATGACATAGTCTTCGGGAACATAGGCTGGTAGAAGATTGGGTCCTGCCAGTACGTTTCAATGTCCGAGCTTGGATGATAATCCATCAACAGCCAGAGCCCAAAATAGGCATGCAGCTCTTCCCGTGAAGTGTTATGCCATTCCGTCTTGTCTGAAGAAGGGGGTGCTGGTTGCTGGTGGTAGTACCTGAGAAGCAAAGAAAGGACAAATTTTGAACTATGCTTTCAATATACAAAATGTTGACTGTAAAATGTGCAAAGATAGTAAAAGGGTAACATGGGACACAACAAAAAAGAGGTAACATACCGGTTAGTCTCTTGGACAAGACAGTCCATGAGCTCGGGTGTGATGAAGTGCGAATATATTTCAAAGGGTGTGGACCCTTGGTGCAGGTCTCTGACGTTGACCACGGGACGGGCACAGAACCTGAACCGCTTCGGGACGTTCGTCTTCCTTTGCCACACAAACATGGGCTGTTCAGAGGCATGCCTTTCCTGCATCCTTGCCTCCAACTCAGAGTCAGAGCCATCATCACTGCTACTGCTTATGATACGACTCCTCCTCTTTGGAAAATACTCAACTTCCTCCCACTCATCAGAGGAGGGGTCGAAGTCATCAAATCTATGGGACAGGGCAGTAGGCACAGCTGATGTGGATGGAACTACAAGGTTGTCTTCAGCAGCAGAATCAGAAGAAGAGTAGCAGCTGGAGTGCCTGGAGGCTATCTTCAGGGAGTGATGAAGACAGAATGGTTTTCAGATTATATCATAGGTATTTCTATATATATGACCCAGTCAGGTCATACTACTCAATGTTCAATGTGCTCTCAACTAGTCACATAATTTCAGGGGTAATTGACCAGAGTACTCTCTAACAGCAATACAGACGAGTGACTTGGAAAGACCATAAATAAATTAGTGCACCTTTTATGATATCTGTGACTGTAATTTTAATCCTTAAAAAATTTATGAGCTCCTCAGCTACAAATACAGCCTGATTTTCAACTTTCACCAAAGAAAACTTTGGTCTCTGATATCTCAAGAAAGTGATTATACAAAACACAAAATGTACATTTCATTATCATATATAAAATGTACATTGCAATAGGAAGCATCAAAGAAGGAAAAGATGCCCATCCCACATGAAAGAAAATGGAATATAGAATATACATAACAATGCAAATAAAATCTATAAGTATAAAGAAATAAATGAAATTATTTCTTATCTATAATAACGAAATATGAACTTAAATGTAGATATAGTAACGACCATAATAAACCAGGAGGCGAACCTGAGATCCAGAATAGTAAGGTGTGTGATAGGGAAAATGCAAGGTAGGAAATATGAAAACAGTTACAGAATTATAACTCCACAAGATTTTCAATTAAATTCAGTTAGAGGCAGAGAATATAACTATATGACTGCCTCAGGAAGAGGAAGCCCTACATGGATTGGGGATATGGGTATGACATAGTGGGTGTGGTTGGAAGAAATTTACTAAACAGTATGAAATCTATTAGAAGACACTAATACATCTTATCCATGCTGGAAAGCTGGGGAATAACCAACCAGCCAATTTTAGAGAACTTCTCTGTAAAAAGGACTAATAAGGTGCGGCAAGTTTAAATCATGGCAAACAGGACTTTTCATGGTTAAATTCAGCTTGCATAGTAAATACTAGGGTAACTATGATAGTGTTGCTGTTATTTGCTCCCATTACTTTAAAAAATTATAATTTTGAGAATAAGTGATCTAAAGTTGTTGTTTTTATATAATTTTTACAATTATCTTTTATAACTAATGTTATATAGGAAATAAAAGCTCAAGCTGTGTATTATGCAATGAAATTTGATGCAATCTGACTGAAAGAATGCAAACAGCACCATTCTAGAAAACTGGGGTGGTATTCACAAACAGTCAAAGAATTTTCTTTAACAAACATAAGGACTGCTCTTTAACTCCAAAATTTATCTATGACTTAGTCTAAAGATTGTGCTTAGCAATTTTGTCTATGACACACTGTTGCTACACAGTTAACACTTTGCTACAACTTATATTTACATTTTATAAGACCCTATCTTAATCATTCAGTGTAATAATGACATAAAATTACTATTCCAGTGAATCTCAATTATATAATGACTACAATATCACACACCTAAAATGTACCTTCTGTATTTGTTATGATTATGTCAGCAGAGAAGGTACACTGTCACTTGTATTTATCTACAAAAAAAACTGCAGTAAACAAAGAGAAAACATCCCAATTAATGTTTGACAAAAAAAAAAAAAAGTAGCAGGAAAGTATTACATATCATTTCTAATTGGAATTGTCTTCAAGAATTGTCAAATTGCAGATTGTTGAAAGCATCTCATAAGGTAAATCTAATGACAGTCCTTACACACATAGAGTACCTCTTGAGCTCTCTTTAACATTGGTCAAGTTATGGAGGAAAATCTGGTGTTTTCAGGAGTCATCATAGTCAAAATTTGTCTTGGACTTGACATCTAAGACCATTCATGAAAAACACCCCTAAATTCCTCATTTACCATTACTAAACATATGTGAAAATTTGGTATATAGTTGATACTTAAGTGACAATGATATGGATAATACTAATATAACAGTGATACTTTATGGGGGGCCACTTGCACATTCACCCTATAACATTTGTGTTTTATTATATGCATTTTATATATATTAATCTTGTGCATTTTGAATGATTCAACAATAAGAACATTATTAACAGCAAAATCCATCGCTGAAGAGGGATGGTTCACGAACCGCAGACAGCAGGGCATAGAGTGCCATTTCACATGTTTTATCTTCTAATAATACAATTAATAGTAATAATAATTAATAATCTAGTTTTATTCCATTTATTACAATGGATATTCTTGGTGTTACAGGCTGTCTGTTTCATTTTGGTTCTAAATCACCCTATGTGCGCAAGGAATAGCCGGGGTTACCATTCACTGGGGTCTGTGTAACAAATTCACTGGGATTTGTACAACAAATCTTGCAATTGAATTCCCTTAAGATTTTCTTACATGTTTTCTTTAATTTTTCATCGCCCATCATAATGTTTTCACTTTTATCCATTTATACACAGTATATTTACATATTTACATAGTATGTATATTATCATAACATATAACACATATACATAATATATATAATATATACATTATATATATATATATATATATATATATATATATATATATATATATATATATATATATATATATAAAAATATATATATATTTATAATGGTAGCATGGCTGGGGGTGCTTATTTTATCATTTTCAGCAATACTTCTGTCATACATTAACATCACGACTAAAAACACTTTAAAAAGTTGAAATTATCACAATACTCTCAAACCTGTACAAGTGAGTGTGAGTGAGTGAGTGAGTGAGTGAGTGAGTGAGTGAGTGAGTGAGTGAGTGTGAGTGAGTGAGTGAGTGAGTGAGTGAGTGAGTGAGTGAGTGAGTGTGAGTGAGTGAGTGAGTGAGTGAGTGAGTGAGTGAGTGTGTGTGTGAGTGTGTGTGTGTGTGTGTGTGTGTGTGTGTGTGTGTGTGTGTGTGTGTGTGTGTGTGTGTGTGTGCACGCGCGCGCGCGCCTGTGAGGGACCTTGAATAGGATCACGATCAGATGTGTCAGACATGTTAAACTTTGCTTCTTTGGTGTTGAAGTAGCAATCCTTAACTTTTTCCTGATATCGCGCACGCATGCATGCACGCGCGCGTTTTATTATATGCATTTTATATATATTAATCTTGTGCATTTTGAATGATTCAACAATAAGAACATTATTAACAGCAAAATCCATCGCTGAAGAGGGATGGTTCACGAACCGCAGACAGCAGGGCATAGAGTGCCATTTCACATGTTTTATCTTCTAATAATACAATTAATAGTAATAATAATTAATAATCTAGTTTTATTCCATTTATTACAATGGATATTCTTGGTGTTACAGGCTGTCTGTTTCATTTTGGTTCTAAATCACCCTATGTGCGCAAGGAATAGCCGGGGTTACCATTCACTGGGGTCTGTGTAACAAATTCACTGGGATTTGTACAACAAATCTTGCAATTGAATTCCCTTAAGATTTTCTTACATGTTTTCTTTAATTTTTCATCGCCCATCATAATGTTTTCACTTTTATCCATTTATACACAGTATATTTACATATTTACATAGTATGTATATTATCATAACATATAACACATATACATAATATATATAATATATACATTATATATATATATATATATATATATATATATATATATATATATATATATAAAAATATATATATATTTATAATGGTAGCATGGCTGGGGGTGCTTATTTTATCATTTTCAGCAATACTTCTGTCATACATTAACATCACGACTAAAAACACTTTAAAAAGTTGAAATTATCACAATACTCTCAAACCTGTACAAGTGAGTGTGAGTGAGTGAGTGAGTGAGTGAGTGAGTGAGTGAGTGAGTGTGAGTGAGTGAGTGAGTGAGTGAGTGAGTGAGTGAGTGTGAGTGAGTGTGAGTGAGTGAGTGAGTGAGTGAGTGAGTGAGTGAGTGAGTGAGTGTGTGTGTGAGTGTGTGTGTGTGTGTGTGTGTGTGTGTGTGTGTGTGTGTGTGTGTGTGTGTGTGTGCACGCGCGCGCGCGCCTGTGAGGGACCTTGAATAGGATCACGATCAGATGTGTCAGACATGTTAAACTTTGCTTCTTTGGTGTTGAAGTAGCAATCCTTAACTTTTTCCTGATATCGCGCACGCATGCATGCACGCGCGCGCGCGTGCATGCATGCGTGCGCCTGTGAGGGACCTTGAGTAGGATCACGATCAGATGTGTCAGACATGTTAAACTTTGCTTCTTTGGTGTTGAAGTAGCAATCCTTTCCTTTTTCCTGATATCTTATCCCTTATCTTCTAAATCACTTTCATCAGCAGAACATATTCGTTCTCATTATCATACAACATGTAAATTTGAATGAACTGACAACAATTCATCCATGTTCAAAGCAGAAACAAAACTCAGTGCATCTGCCATAGTAAATTTTGGTGAGTAGTGGACTTGTGTGGCCAGAAATGCAGCTGGCAATTTAACCTGTTCGTTTTTGGTGAATTTGGTTACATACAGATGTCTCCACATGTGCTCAGCCGGCAAGGAGTCTATCAGAAGGCCCTAGTTACCGACCCTGATTTTCCCATTCATTGAATTGGCGGGAAAATTAATACCATTGCTATTGATACTGTTATTATTGTTATTGATGTTATGATTATTAAATTGTCATTAGAATATTTTAGACAATGAATTGATACTTTTTTTTTTTTTTTTTCCTAAAGTGAAGGAAAAGGGTAAACAGGTGAAATAGGTAGTTCTTGATAACTGGCTATTTGGTGATTAAGAACTAGTGGCAAGTGTTAGTATCTAATTTGTTAGTGACAGTTGGTGGTATTTATTCATTTTGGTGTAATTAAGTGTTAATTTGTTTTTGTTTTCACAATTTTATTTATGTCCCAGAAAAGGGGATCTAATATATTTGGGTATTAAAAAAGAAAAAGACCAAAATTGCAATACAAATTTATACTTTTTTATGATTATATCCAATCTTGATATCAATAAATAAGATTTTATTATGAAGTCTTTCCTTTAACTTTTTGAATGGGAAAATATAAAATGAGTAGTAGAATCATGGCAATTCCATAAACCAACAACATTTAATAATCCAGAAGAGACAAGGAATAATACATGGGTGTGTGTGCGCGCATAGGTGTGTGTGAAGGGGTAGGTGTGTGAAGGGGTAGGTGTGTGTGGGAGAAAGTGAGAGTGGCAGTACAGTGAGAGTGAGAATGAGTGACTATGAAAATAAGTAAGAATGAGTGCATGTTTGTGTTTGTTTTTAAGTGTATGCACATATGGATGGGTGCACATGCTTGCATATAAAATTTGTTTTCCGTTCTAAATAATTACCAAAACCAAAAATTTCTTCCTACATACCTTATCACAAGAGGACTTTCCATGATCATATAGTTTATCATGTTTGCTCTTTACAAGTTTTTTCCGTTTCTGGCCCCTCGGATGCTCTCCTGAACCGTGCTTGTCTTTTGTGTGAGTCTCCAAATCACTTCTTGTAGCACACACTTCCTCACAACTCTTACATTTAAGTGTTAATAATGGATCTTCTTCACAATCTTCATATGGGTGAGAATCATCTTCCATATCCATATCTAAGCTTTCTTCTTTAAAGGTCACATCATCCTCTATTTTCCACACAATCATTTCATCCTCTCTTTCCTCCTTCACTTTCTCCATCATGTCATTGTCGGCTACAAAAATATTATCACTCTCCTCCTTAATAACGAGTCCATCTACGGTCTCTATAAGCTTTTTATTTGACATTGTGCTTTCTGATACAGGTTCTTTGTGGTTGCTGAAAAAGAGAAAACACATTACTTAGACAGACATCTCTGAGGATTAAGACTATTCACAGTTCTTGCTTCATTATTTTGTTATAAGACCTTGACTGATTATCCAATCTCTTTTAAATTTCTACTGTTTATATAGACTAACACAGGAATGTTATTTCTTGTGTTCTAGTGAAACTGTTATGTATTACAATCAGGAGAAAATAATTACAAATATTGCTACTAATAATTACCAATAATTTATGAATTATACAAAAATAGTTTCATCTTCTACACAGAACTAAATACTTTGCAAAGGAAAACTTGAATGAAGAGATGCACTTGTGCATATGCAACCTGAAAACTAAGAGAAAACTGCAAAATTCAATGGGTTTTTTCTTGCATTAAAAAATCAGTAACAATTTTTATGAATAACTGCACATTTCATAACCATAGATGTAGGATTTCTTGAAAAACACTAAAACCACTTGTTTTGTAAACTCAGTCAACTGGAAAATAAGTATCCTCACATCACTGAATGCTAATTGGCTGCTCCCATTTCACTGTCTAAATTTCTATCTTCACAAGCTAATAATTGTGGCATAAAAAAATGGCAAGTGGCCAGTAATGCAGGATTATAGGTATGCATTACCATCTCCCCTGTTTGTGCTCACCTTGTTCAGCATTTAAAGCATAGCATCAAGCACCAAATACCTTGTAACTGTAGCATATAACCCTTTACTTTAGGTGTTTGTATCTAACAGTGGCAAATGATGTTACTACTATCAGAAAAAGATAAGCTCTCTTGGACAAACCAATGGCATGGGGTATGACATTATGCAGTGCCATCTGCAACTCAGTCCACCAAAACCATTGTAAATTTATGCCATCTTTGGATGCAATAGCTGGCTAAAAACTTTTGTGATTTATGTTTCCCTATCTTCCATAACAATACATTTAAGGCAACTGGGATGTACTGCAAATTAAAGGAGATGAAGCAGAATATGTATTTTTTTCCCTTAATCATTATAACACAAACTCCTTAGTCTCTCAAAATAGAGAATATGCTCAAATAGCCTCCAAACAATGTTTTTATAAAAATAAAGAAATAGTTACCAGAAATTGTTAATCTAGTATTCTAAGCATAACTATCAACAACAAACCAAAAATTGGCTGAAAGAATACAATGCAGATGTTCCACCAAACTGTAATCCTTATGATTAGCCCACTGCCACTGGGGAAGGCCATTTCTTGTGGCTATGCAAGGGCCTAGACACCAAGAAGTCAATTACTTTATATTTTCTTTTTGCTCTCAATAATGTTAATAACTTGATAATAATCGTAATGTCAATGTCACTAATAATAATAATAGTATCAATATTACTAGAAAGAAAGAAGGAAAGAAAAAAAAATCAAGAAAAGAGGGGATCAGTTAAGATCACATAGCTCTAGTAATTAGAACTATATGGGACATTATATGTTCCTGTAGTAGAATCTACTCAACTTATTTACACAAAGATACAATAATTTTGTCTATATATGACTTCATGTGATCTATACAATCCCATTACAGTGATCCACTCCTATGTCAACAACTCCCCTGTTTATGATTTAATAATGACAAAAGTGGCCACTAGCTTACCTCTCCAAGTTTCCTTCCAAATTATCTTCAACCTTCAAGAAAATATAATCTGGATGATCGGGACCATTTGAAGGTTCACCTGTTACAAACAAAATAAGAGATTAGAATAAGTTATATAACAAATGGTTAAAATAAGCCAATATTTTACTGATTCTGTAAGATGTTAAAGCTTTCATCTATAATCTCTGTATCTCTGAATATATGCACTTTCAAATCTGCGTCTAATGCCCTATGCTATCGATACTGTTATTATTTATACTCCTTTATACATTTCTTGAATTGGCGGGAAAATGTGATTTTCTTATTAATACCATTGCTATCAATACTGTTATTATTGTTATTGATAATATGATTATTGAATTGTTATTAAAATATTTTAGACAATGAAATGATAGACATGTAGACTGCATGCTGCAATGATGGTGCAACATATAATTGTCATAGAGCATTTTTTTTCTTTGGTTTGTTTTGTACAACTATTTGTTAATGCAATAAATCAATAACCTACCATTGCTGTTTGAGCAACAAGTAATGAAGCCTTATGCATAAATTAGTATTGTGCGTCAATCAAGTAATTCCGGATTTAACCACATAGTCGTGTACCGTAATTTTAGTTTAGTTTTGTCCTTTATTTACCACTCTGGCTAATTGCATAGGCGTGTGCAAGCTGTGGTACATTTGATGCATGACATAACATTACATAGTGGTATTACATTTGAATTTCAGGCTATAACATTATTATGAGAAGTACTATATCAGGTAAAAGAAAGTAACAATTACACAGTCCTTTACCTATTCATCTGCCACCCTGGCATACAGCTTGGGTGTGGAAAAGCATTGCTACATTTGAGATGTGTCATGTGATACTACTTTCCAAATTTAGGATACAACATATGTATATCTTCTAAGACATCAGATGATATGAAATAGTTACAGATAGTCCCCTACTTAAGAACATTCTACTTATGAACATTCCATACATACACAAAAATTTTTAAGTACTAAAGTCCAAAAATTTGTTTGAAAGATGCTAGCAAGCTTCAAATTTCCCGGGCGCGAATATAGTTCAAGAGTCTGGTACTCTATAAGGTATGTCGTACTTATTGGGATTTATTTACAGGTATTCTTGATGTAAACAAAACTTTAAAACAATGGGAAAAAAGGTAATGGAGACCCAACTTTCGACATACAAACAAATCAACTTACAAACAGCCTCTCGGTCCCCATTATGTTCTTAAGTTGGGGACTTACTGTACATAGTTCTCTGTACCTCATGCTAAGTGGTCTGAAAGGCTGTAACACATGGCAATCTGAGATGTAACATACAAGTGTTTGCTTATATTCTTCATTACACAGTTTACACTTAGTTTCTTCAACATTACAACCTGTACTGACCTGCCAGTACAGTCTATACCCGAGCTTAATTCTTGCAGTCACAACATCACACTGTCTTGTTCTTGTTTAATATGAACCGAAGAGGAACAAATCTTGTCTAAACCGGTCATAGTGCTTTATGCTACAGCTTTCAGGGCGTTGAGAATTAAGCAACTCAATTAAGTCCTCTTTAATGATGTATAAAATCCTAGAAAGAGGTACCCTAAGATCTATATCCACACTTTGCTCGCCACATGCTGACTTTGTTAGGCCATTAGCATGATCATGCCTGGGGATTCCAACATGCAAGGGAATCCACACAAAACGTATATCATGGCCTCGTTCTGTTGCATGATGCACGTTTACCTTGGAAGATTGTAAGTGTATGGGTGAAAGTTTCAGCAAACATGACATAAAAGTTATTTTAGTGTTTTTGTTCCATTTCCATGTGTAAATCATGCGAATTCCTCCCCAAAATACAGTATGAAGCCGACTCTTACATGTTCTATCAACTTGGCCATCGGGGAATAAAAGTACTGCCACACATCAAAGTCAAATATGACGGAATATTCCATACCAAAAAGTTTTCCCATAATAGTTATACTCATTGTAAAAATAGTAGTAATAATAACAATAGTAATAAAAAATCAGAGTAACCACTAAGTTTGTGCACAACTTTGCCTTTTTTCATTGCTGAAATACTACTTTTTCAAAATCAACTAGTTACAAAAAAAAAATTCTGCCTAAAAATATCGTTTTGAAGCAAGTTTTTTACCCAATTCATCAGGCTCCGCTGGTGCTGGTGGTACCATCTTTTCTGCCTCCGCATGCAGGGCAGCATCCATATGCTATTCAAAGAAACAAGATGACAATATGATTTTCAATGTTACAAACCAATATGTTAGCCTAGTTAATGGTTTAGCCATAATTTCCTATCACTATTCGTGAGTGTAAGGGCAACTTTAATTTGAATTTCATTGATGTAGGCCTAGGCCTACCTCACTCCAATGTCCAATGATGTCCAATGTCCAATTCATCATGCATGGCCATAGTAGTAGTCCTAATTCACCCATGGACTGACATTGTTGTATCTGAGCGTGTATTTAGGCCTACTTACCCGTCTCCGTTCCCTCTTAACAGCAGCTAGGCGTCTCCGGGTAAGCTTTGTAGGGGTTGACTGTGCCTTTGGTTTTGCTGGACTAATAGTGGACCCTAGTCTTGGTCGAGGAGGAAGCTTCGAAATGATTGGCACAGCGCCAGGAACCAACTTCCACGGTGTATTGTCATGTGGGTTCCTGGCTGAGAGTAACCTAATTTTCGTCAAATTGCTTATACTTTCCTCAGGAAAATGGTCAGCACATATGAAAGACGATGATGGGTGATATCTAAAGTCAGCACGTGTTTGTCTAACCACTCGTACCCATTCGGCATGCCTTTCCGGTTCATGTTCTGGTTTCGGAAAACTAAAAACGCCAAGTCTGTCTTTTCTGCGGCTATTGTTGCATCCCCACACCGAGCAACATTTGCCACATGGCGGCCTCTTCTTTTGGCATTTCTTCACTGGCGGTTCATTATTATCTCTATCCATATTTGGTGGACAATAGGACATTTGCAGACAAAATATCACACAAAAGGTTCTCAATCCATGCATTCGCGGCGATGACAAAGAAAATGAACACAACTCATGACGTCATTTCCAGGTTGAGTTAAAAGCTGTAGCAGACGACGTTTTGGGCCCGGAATTTGTTCATTCAAAAGGCTATAAATATAAAACGCGTTATTTTTTATTTATTTATTTATTTATTTTATTCTTATACATATTTGGAGGTACAAGAACAAAGTCTTAGATGAATATCATACATTTAATTCACATAATGATTACTCTTTAATGATAATCATGACACTGGTGATGGTAACAATAATGTGGATTACCTATTCAGTTGCCGATAATAATAATGATCATGATCATGATAATAATAATATAATAGTTTTGATATTATTAGTTATCATTATCGTAGTAATAATAATTATTATTGTTATTATAATCATTATTATTACAGTTATTATCATTACTGTTATTGTTGTTACTGTTATTATTATTATCATTATTATAACAATAACAATGCTTATAATGATCATAATAGCAATAATTGTGATGATAATAAAAGCAGTATGTGAGACATTTCCGATAACTTCCAAAATCCTTCCATTATTTTATCTAACAATAATATCTATTTCAATTTTTACCTTCTACTTTTAGAATATGTTACGATGGTATAGCATAATTCTTTGTTTCTCAAGCGTCGAGGAAGTGGCAAATTTAACATTTCATATATCAACCTTCTTTCATAGCCAAACAGCCTCAATGGTTCAGGTATGACCTAGAGCAGGGTTCTTCAAACTTAGAACAGGGTTCTGTGTGCGTCCGTGCGTGCGTGCATGCGTACACACACACACACACACACACACACACACACACACACACACACACATATATATATATGTATATCTACTTATATATACGTGTATATAGTCTATGTGTATACACACACACACACACACACACACACACACACACACACACACATATATATATATATATGTGTGTGTGTGTGTGTGTGTATACATAGACTTATATATATATATATATATATATATATATATATATATATATATATATATATGTGTGTGTGTGTGTGTGTGTGTGTGTGTATGTGTGTGTGTGTGTATACGCATATGTGTATATACATATATACATTTATAAATATATAATTATCTTATAATGTGGCGATCCAATGAACATGAGTTTGCGACACAGTACTAGATTCTCCCAACTCCACTGACATACCCATCTACTCTTACTTGAAAAATAATAATAACCATGGTGGAACCAATTCAAAAATTCAGTTACTATGTCAGATTTACTGAATATCGGTATAAAATGAAATACTGTAGTAACACCGTGGTAGGAATAAGTAACTTACACAGATCACAAAGTACTTGAACTACCGCTGAGTATTATTATTATTCTGGTCTAAAAATAATGTCTATGGAATAGTATAATCTTTGGATAGTATAATCTTTGGATAGTATAATCTTTGGATAGTATAATCTTTGGATAGTATAATCTTTGGATAGTATAATCTTTGGATAGTATAATCTTTGGATAGTATAATCTTTGGATAGTATAATCTTTGGATAGTATAATCTTTGGATAGTATAATCTTTGGATAGTATAATCTTTGGATAGTATAATCTTTGGATAGTATAATCTTTGGATAGTATAATCTTTGGATAGTATAATCTTTGGATAGTATAATCTTTGGATAGTATAATCTTTGGATAGTATAATCTTTGGATAGTATAATCTTTGGATAGTATAATCTTTGGATAGTATAATCTTTGGATAGTATAATCTTTGGATAGTATAATCTTTGGATAGTATAATCTTTGGATAGTATAATCTT